ATATATATACATATATATATATATATATATATATATATATATATAAATATATATATATATATATATATATATATATATATATATATACATATATATATATATATATATATATATATATATATATATATATATATATATATATATATGTATATATATATATATACATATATATACAAATATGTACATACATATATATACATATATGTACATATATATATATATATATATATATATATATATATATATATATATATATATATATATATATATATATATATATATATATATATATATATATATGTATATATATATATATATATATGAAAAAAATATAATCTTTAGTATATATATATATTTAGTATATATAAATATATACTAAATCATTTACTTATTAATTAATTTATTTATTTTCATAAGTATATGTATATAGACATTAAAAATACCTGAAAAAAGAGACTGTGTTTAAAGAGACACAACTCCTTTAAGGTACAAGGTAAAACCAAAAAAAAAAGTATCAAATTAAATAAGTATTAGAGTTAAGAAGATATATATATATATATATATATATATTTATATATATATATATATATATATTTTTATATATACATATATATATATATATATATATATATATATATATATATATATATATATATATATATATATATATATATATATATGAAAAAAATATAATTTTTAGTATATATATATATATATATATATATATACATATATATATATATATATATATATATATATATATATATATATATATATATATATATATATATATATATATATATATATATATATATATATATATATATATATATGAAAAAAATATAATTTTTAGTATATATATATTTAGTATATATAAATATATACTAAATCATTTATTTATTAATTTATTTATTTATTTTCATAAGTATATGTATATAGACATTAAAAATACCTGAAAAAAGAGACTGTGTTTAAAGAGACACAACTCCTTTAAGGTACAAGGTAAAACCAAAAACGAAAGTATCACATTAAATAAGTATTAGAGTTAAGAAGTTATAGAGAAATTTATAGAGAAAGTTATAAAAATAAATATAGAAATAGTTTTAGAAATAGTTATAGATTAGTTCAAGAAAGAAATACAGATAATGTAATATTTTTTAAATAACATGACTGTTATTTTGATTTAAACAATTCCTTCTGGCTAACCAGATATAAACTGAGACTAGGTATAGATTGACTTTGTCAACTAGGTATAGATTGGTATAGACTGAGCTACCAATTTTAGCTATATCAACTTTAAAGCTTTGCTAAATTATTACTCTATTGGACTTGATCTCAGAACACGTTTATTAAAAGATTTCAAGGAGTTATATGTCTATAAAGGAGAAACCTTTAAAACCTCAAAGGAGATATATATCTTCAAAGCCAGTTTCTTATTTCATCAGTTGTCTGTTAAAAGTAATAAATTTTATTCAACAGTAAATTAACAGCAGTGATAAAGCATAATTGTCAATGAATAAACATTTTAACCATTTACAATAATGTATAATATGGTTTGCCCAAACTAAAGTAATTTAATGACTCTAACTGGGTTATTAAAATGAGATCTTTTTTATAATAAATGCAAAAAAATAAACTGAGTTCAATAAAACCTTTCTTAAACTCAGTTTCTTTATACAAAATTATATATAAACACAGACACAACTTTTTATTTAAATGCTACCCTGTATTTAACTTATTTTCACTATTAGATGTTTTTGCACTATTAGATAATTTAAAAAATATAAAAGCATTTTGTCTAATATGCTTTGATAAAAATCATATGATAAATAAAAATGCTAGAGTGGGCAAAACTAGATAATAAATGGACCATCGATGACTGTAAACATGGACCCTTGAGTGAAAATTTAATTTCCTACCAATCGTAAGCTACCTCCTGTGGCATAAATTGCCACATTTTTAGTTTACAAACAAAAGATTTAAGATATCTGATTCAAGGCAGGAACCTAACTTGTAGTTTAATGAAGCTTTGGTCATTAAAATGTTATTAGGAATTTTAATCAGAGTTTCATTCTGACAAAAAAGTTTACACTTTTCTAATTATTTGATTTGATTTTATATATTAATTTTTCTATAAGCCCTGTAAATTCGTTTTTGAGTCTGTCTATCAAAGTTTGCAATCAAATTTCTTGAAGGTAGCTCATTTGTATGCAAAAAGCATATTGAACATAAATATTTCATTCCAGTAAGTCTCTTCAGATGAGTTAAAAATCCATCATCCTTAC